TCTGATTCAGGCCACTTTCATAAGTGGTCCAAACCAGAAACAGGTCTCACTCTTTGCAGTGCGACAGTCATATCAGGTTTTTACGTCACTCTAGTCTCGTCACTTCAGGACCAAGAGCTGCTCACACTGGAATCTGATATGAGCCACATTTAACAAGGAGACAAAAAGCCAAACAAACAAAAGCGGATCTGAGCAATAAATCAGAATGGAGTGCTAAGGCTTGCAGTGTGAACGAAGCCGTTGTTCATGGACAGGTGGGGTCTTGGACCCAGGGCCCTGGACGGAAAAAACTGTTTACTGAATAGAATTGAACCTGTCACTAAATGTGACCCAGCAGAAATGAAAATGTTTCATCAAACTAAATCTATGACTTTTAATCTCAGAATCAGAATCAGAATCAAAAATACTTAATCTGAGTATGTGTTAAGACTGTGTACCTATTTTCTTTTTTGCTGGGATATTAAAAAAATAAAATTAGTTTAACAATGAAGCCTGTACTTTGGCTTTATTTTATCTGTTACTGACTGTTACCAGGGTAACACTATGTCTCTTGTCCCCCTTTCTATCTGGACATCTACTAGGAACACATGACAAACATGGATGCAGACAGTTGACACAGTCAAAGAGAGAAAAATAGAATTTCTTACTAAATTGGATTTAAAACAACCAAAACCAAACCTGGCCCGCGTCCGTAGCTATAGGCAACAAATTGGGGTCTGTCGGGTTTGGGTCTTTTTGGAGAATTCTAGAAAAAACTACAGCACATAAATAATTGATAACAATAAGGCTAAATGTCGCTTCATGCAGTTAAAAGTTGAGTAAAGAGAAGGTAGTTTAAATACCAGCCGATCTTTAAAAACCCAGAAGGTCCTTAAACATTTAATGTTGTTCTGAAGATACTTCCACATTCCTTAATTGCTTGTCTGTCCCAAAAAAAATTCCATCCACTGCACAATAAAAAATATTTTTGTAAGACCTTTGTTTTTTTATGACGCTGCAGACGAAATAATTATTTGTCAGATGGTTGGAAGGCTAAATAGTGCCAAAGATAAATGTATTTCATCATGTGCACAAGAAAATGTTCTCTGCGAGACTTCAGGGGCCTTGTATAAGAGTCAGTGAGGATTATGGGAATGCCTTCAGAATTGTGCTCAGTGCTGTTAAATGGCCGCTGGGTTTTTCAAAGATTGCCGGGTGTATATTTTTAAGAAACGTGAGGCTTAGCTCTGTGACATGAATTTAATGATAAAACACGAAAGGTACAAACTGCGAGGTGAGCAACTAACCTGATCTATCTACCGAGTGCAAATCTATCCAGGAAGTTCCTGATAATGTAGTACAACTACAGTATTGCAGCTATTGTTCCAACTATCACTTTTCCACACTATGGCTTTTGGTCTGAGACGCTGCTGTATATCACACAGCAACCTCTGGTTTCATCATCCTCATTTCATCTACATTCACAATGAACTGAGCTGTTGCTCAGGTATCTTTTAGGATTCTGAATGTTAGATTTTACTGACATGAGCCATCAGTAACAAGACACACATCCACAGAGCGTGTACCACTTCTGCAGACAAATCCAGTACTCTTTTCATACTGATTAAAAAACATCTGATTTAATATCACATTTAATCTGAACTAGAGCACTTCAAGCAGTGTGAACATAATCTATGTGGAACTAGTCATCAGTGTAATAAAAATCATACAGCAGATCACTGCACTATGAATACATCTCACATCTAAACAGACCAACAGAACGTGTCAGCAGGACGTCATTATATGCTTCAGAGATGTTGCACGTCCTTTGAGGTTACAAAGCGAGCATGGCTTCTTAAGTTAATGACAGGGCGAGTCTGACTGGCCCCCCTGAAAGTGCTTTACTGTACGACTGATATGAGCTCTCAGCTATTTCTGTTGCGTCGTCAAGGCCACCGCACTTCCTGTTGCAAGGGTCACTTTAAAAAAAAGAGGAAATGAGACCGCCTGTGAGCATTCGTGTAAGTCAAAGGAAGGGAAGGTGCAGTCAACAAAGGTCAGAAAAAGGATTAATTCAATGTGAAACAATGGGTTGAACTGCAACCAGAGCAGGGAAATTTCGATAGACACAGTTTAAGGTCGGAGGAAGGGGAAGCGCAACAGGAGAAACTACTTGACATATGTCATGCTGACATTTAAGCCCACATTACCCAAATGTTATATGAAACATGTGTTTTCCTGGTTACCAACACCTTTCCACTGTCCTCAAGTGTACAGTCCCTAGAGGTAGTTATTATCGCCACACTTCCTGTTGGAACATGCCAGAGCTCAGGGGACAGAACTGGCAAGGTCTTTCAATATCCACTCAACCAGACAGCCACCCTGTGGAGAGCTCAGAGTGTAATCCTTTCATCTGTCGTCGTCCCCAATTTCCCCCTATGAAAGCTTCTAAAACGCTGTCAAAGGGGTTGGAACATACGACAGACTTGAAATCCGGAAGGGAAATATTGTTTTACTTGTGCGCTTCTGTATGTGGCATGGCTCTGTATGCATGTGCAAATCTTCCTTCACAGTCGAGGTGATTAAAGAAAAAGATGTCTGGATGTCTCCTGATCAGTGGCATTTCAGGTGTTTCTTGGGGTGTTCCTTTGCCAGCTGGTCTCTCTGGGGTCCGTAGATGCAGTTGGCTCGCCAAGAGAACCACACAATGATGGAGATGATGGTGGTCTGGAGGAAGAGCATCACCCCGTAGGTGGAAAGTATGGTCGGCCCAGGTAGGCGGGAGAGGATGGCAGGGGGCAGCAGCAGAGTCGGACTGAGTAGGATTGCCCTCACCTCAGCCTTGATCATGTGGAGTTCGTCGAGGATGGACAAAAACGTGCAACAGTGGAACCACTGGTGGCTGTGCCCCCAGATGTCAAAGCAACCCGGGGCTAGCCGCTCAGGGAACTTGCTGATGTTGAAGACAGCCGACACCAGCAGCCAGAGGCAGTGGCGATAGAAGAAGCTGGAGGTGGAGGTGGAAGCAGCAAAGGAGGTGGAGGTGGTGGAATAAGGTGATCTGGTGAGGAGGCGATAGAAGACTGGCGTGGAAGAGACGAGGAACGGCAGGAGGAAAACCAGGGTTCGGATGAGGTATCGATGCTTTCTCCACCTCTGGCGAGTATTGCAGCAAGATAAAACACAAATGATTGCAACAACACACGCGCTCGGGATGTAGAAGGTTTCAAAGAACACACTGAACTCTGGGATTGCATAGGAGGATGTAAGAGCCCCTGAAGGTTCAGGTTTCAAGTCCATATGGGAGCCATTGTGGCCTCCGGTCTCCACTATCCCTGCCCGAGGGTGGATGTAGTAGTAGTACGCCAACGATGAGCCAACCGTGTAGGCGCTGATCGTGCCGTAATCCACAAAGAAGCAGACTTCTCTTACCACCAGAGACATGGAGTTGAGCAGGTGGGCCATGCTGCTAGCCATTAGCAGACAGAACACCCCGATAAAGTAGTTCCACAGTGGATAGAAGAACGGGGCGTCACCAGGTGGTGCACCTTCCCAACCAAACACCTCCACAAAATAGTATAAAAAGATGAAAACTGGGAGGAAGTGTGTCCAGAAGTTGCCAGTTTCATTGGTGGGCCTGAATGCCGAGAGTAAGCAGTCCTTCAGGCTGTAGTTTGGGAACCGGTAGCCAGTCAGGATGAAGTTTTCTATGACCCGAGGCGGCACGTCTGTATGCCTCAGAAGAGGTAACGGCTGGCCGCAGTTCAGAAGCATAACGGCAACAGTATATGTTGCAGACAGTCAAAAGAAAAGTCTGACTCTCTCTGAAAGCACTTCTCTTTTTATTGCTTGGCTGTTGCGTTTATTGCTGATCACAGCATTATTAGTGACCACAACCATACAGTCCCTCGCTTTTGAGTAGATAAGGCATCTGCAGGCTGCCCCGGGTTGAAAAGACCTTTCAGCCCTGCTCTTCTTTGGACCTTTGATCCCGGCTCCACTGCAGGCCTCGTGAGCTGTACACTAATCCGAAGAGCAGAAGCAATACACTGAGAGGGAGTGTAGTACCCAGACGCCTCAGGCAACCTGCTTGGTTTCCCTTTTGGTTCCCTTTAGACTCCAGAGCGTTCCAAAAGGTCACAAAAACATCCAGCATGCAATGCTTTTCATGCTGTTTATCTTCCCTTATTTTGCATAGGATATGGGCTACACGGATGGATCCCTCTACTCAGTCATACGCACATTCACTTGTCTTGTTGTGCATAGTTCCACAGCAGCACATAGAGAGGAAGGTCACTTTTTACTGTGTTACAAGGTTGAATCGCACGTCAGTTACAGTCTAATGAGATGTCCTGAGGAGCGTCCATTAAGCTCTGTGGGTATGTAGGTCATGCTGGCGTTGACCACTATATCAGGATCCCGCAGGCTTCTATTCCTCCTGTCGTTCCTGCTCCATCAGCCCGTATCCACGTCCGACTTTCAGTTCATCCAGCTCCCATTCCGTTACAATGCAGCTCGCTGCAGAGGAGCACAATCCCCCGGGACCGGAGAGAGAAACGCTGTGCGATAAGTCCTTTAACTCAAGGTCACGTTTAAAAACGCCATTTTATAACTACGACGTATATTTCGCGGGTGAACGCTGCACACTGCCGTTAGTCCGGAGCCCCGGGAAGCTGGGACCAGCCGGCATTTCGGCGAGAAACTGAGGAGAACGGGAGACTGTTTGACAGGTACCAGCGTCAAGGTACACGCGCGCTAATACCGGGGTTCCGGTTGTGAGTTTCAAAGTAAAACTCAGAGGTGATGATGTAACATTTTCCCAGAATGAGCTATTTTTAGAGGTCATTTATATTAGTTAGAAAGGACATGATCGAGGTCTGTCAATAAATTATTATTATTATATGCACAATAACAAGGTGTGTTTATGCATGCTGTCCTAGGTAATAATAATAATAAGTGTATTTGTACAGCACCATTTATAAACAGTGTTTACAAAGTGCTTTGACAGAGCAAAATGGACGTTGTGATACATAAAATCTAATCATCCACAGGGAACAGTTTTGGCTCCTTTCCTGTT